GAACAAAACTGGATAAGCCAACCGTTTTGGCCATAACAATTCACCATGCTTTTTGTCAACCTAAATGGAGCACACTAGGTGCTTTTATTGTTTAGAAAAGCTTGCCCTGAACAATTCTATGCTTTCCATCATTTTAGGTATAAATGCAGTATTATCAAAATGAAAAATGTAAACCAACCCCTCAAAAAAAAGCCCATCTGTTGTTTTCCCCTCCTGCTTCTGCAGTTTAGGAGTAAAATCTGTATACATAACGCTGTCGGTTACTTTTATTGTTTGCTTTGGATAGTGAGTGTTTCTTTTTTGTCCCTCTCTTAACACCTAACAGGAAAAAGACAGAAGCTTCAGAAGAACAAACAAACCCAACCAAAACAATAAACAAAAACCCCACCAAAATGAAATAAACAAACCCCCCAAAACACCCTATCAAAATACAGCCCATTCACACTACCCCAACTTAAAAGTCTCACTTTGTGTTTAGTTTTAAATATTTTGAACATTTTTGTTACAACCTCCCAAATACTCATATTTCTCTCTGCTTCTTCTATTTAACAACATTATGGTTATATTCCTCCACACATCCAAAATAAAGTAACTGCTGTGACAACTTTAGGCCTACCAGGTACATCGAAAAAATATCCAAGAGCTTCCAATGCCATGAAAGTGAGAGTAGGCAGAAATTCAGAGATTGTTGCTACCAGCCCTTGGAAGTACTCATTTCTGCATTTTGAAGCATGTATATATCACAAGCCAAAGCAGGGGAGAACAAAGCAACGTAAAAAAAACCCACCATAGTTGCAGGGAAACAGAGTCCCCAGTGCATTCCCCAAAAGCCACTTGGCTATCCAAGATTTACAATTTCTGTCTTACTCATATAAGGGAAGACTCATCTTGCTTCCTCCCACTGCTGGAGTTGTTTTTTGATTAGCGAGCCAGGATTACCTTGGCAGAATCAACAAGCAAGACCTCATCTGTGCAAATCTCAACACTCCAGTTTATTACTGGAAAACCTGGCAATTTTTAAACTTTCTTGGTTTTTGGAGCTCACAGATGGTCCAGGACTGTTATGCAGCCCCATACAACAAATCTATGCCTACTGGGAACAGATGTGCTTTTAAGTATCTTCCACAGATCCTTTAGAAATAAACCACTGATGTCCCTGCCCTCACCAATTAAATGCTGAAAACCAGGGCTCTAGATCTATCACGCTGCGTTGTTATGAACCACAGCCAGAATGGACAGGAGAAGCCATTAGCTTTCCACAGATCTTTCTGCCCTATGAACAATTATGAGCTTGCACTCAGAACAGGATAAAGAACAAACCTCATACCTAGTTCTCTACCCTCACTTGCTCTGTATGACTCTGGATGAGTTTTATAAAACAGAAGTGGAAAGACTGAATCTATCTACCTTGTCCCCTACAAACTGTCATCATGTTTTTCCAGGGTTCTCCCCAGTTAGTATGACAATCAAACAAAAAAGGAGATGCATATGGACAAGGCACCAGAGAAGCTGATCCAGGAAAAAAACAATTCACCAATAATTTGAATATCCTAAAAATACACTCATCTCCTCTATCACCAAAGGGAAGCTCATAGGACTAACAAATTGTCATACACGATTCCTTTGAAAATAAACTTACACTTTCTCCTCCTCCGCAGCGTATGATGCTGGCCTAATAACAGAATAAAAGTTTTCTACCACCAGTGTTTTCACACTGCCTTTTCTTTTATGCACACACCTGCCTGAGGAAGGTGTGATTTCTATCCTGATCACTGCTGAAGTTTTGTGCTGTTACTTAGGAACACCCTTTCATGTTCTGAGGTAAAAAACATCCAAGCATTCCCTCCAGAGTAACATAACCATAAGCAACACAGTGAAACTTGCAATGCTAATAAAAACCCCATAGCCAGACAAAATGAGCCCTCACTACACTGGAGGCCACAAAATAGTTAAATAGAAAAATCAGTTTTCCCTTTAGGCTAGTCCTTCTTCATTCTTGTAGATTTAAATGCAATAAGGGCAAGCGCAAAATTCACACACTGCAAACATGGCTTGCAAATTAAGTGCTCATTTTTGTTTAGGGATTTAAATTTTAACTCCATAAATTATGGGTTGGACAGACTGGAAGGAAAGAGTTGCTTGTACCGTGCATCTGCGGCTTCAGGGGGAAAAAAAGTTTAATTTTCTTAATGTCATGAGACTCAACTAGTCCAACACTTACATAAAACACACATGCATATGCAGGACTCTGGTAGTTAGCAGGACTGCATTTCCAATACCTATTCATCCAAGCAGTTCTGTTAGTTCCCTGGAAGACAACACAACTACTGGTTACCACAAAAAATTGTTCTTAATTTCTAAACCACCCCAAGCTGGATACCCCAAGGAGTACACACCACTCCGGACAAACCTACACTCAGTAAAACAATAAATACGTCTTTAGCAACATCCTCACAGGGATCAACTCTGACAACACAACTGAAACTATAAACCAAGGAAGTGTAAAAGAACTTCAGAAAATAGGATGCAAACAGGCATGTGAGCACCCAGACAAGTACTTTCCACTTCTCTGCAGAGGCAGCAGCACTGTTTGCTAAGTGGGACTAGGACTCCAGCCACAAGGACTCTGCCTCCCTCTCAGCCACCAGCCTGCTGCTGGATGTTAGACAAGTTCTTGTCTCCTCCACGTCCCAGGTGACCCAGGCATTGAGAGGAAATTCCTATACTTATTGACAAGTGCAGAAGTTCATTAACAGATAGCTATTAATAGAGCTCTCTGCTGTCTCCTGAGAGAATCCGACGCTTCAAAAAAAACCCAAACCATTTTCAAATAAGACTGCACTCCTTCCCCAGAGGCTCATCACATCAGGCACACACAATAAAGGCTTTTCTGCACTTTCTGAGTGCCTCACAAAAAATTATCATGACCCATTCACCAAGGCACAGTGTTTTCCAGGCCTTTCATCTGCAGGCCTCTGAAGGTTTTCCAGCAGACACGCAACTACTGGCTAGAGTAGTTAGGGTAGTACATCCTAGTTTTATTTCCCGGATCCCTCAAAAGCAGCCAAAAGGCCACAAAGCAAGAAGCTGTGTAACCCTGAAGCCTATTCCTGCACAAGCCAAGCAATGTTCATCCCTGATGAAGATTATTGACATCAATTCTCCTCTGAAAACCAGAAGTCTGTGCTTGATCCCACTAAAAAGTCTATCAATTGTAAGCAAAATCTGCTTCTACCTTGATGGCAAATTTGTCCGGTTTCTCTTCAGTGGTAGAATTTCTTCCTAATTGTAACATTAAAGGAAGAAACAAAAAAAAAAATTAAGGAAGTCATTAAAACTCAAGCCAAAAAAGCAACACTTTGTTGTGTTTGGGAAGTAATATTGAAAGCACTTGTCCTGTTTTAACTTGAATTTTCACTTCCCCCCCCCCCCAACCCCCTCCAGTTACAGTTACAATCACAGATTAACATGAACTGGAAGCAACTTCTGTTCCCCTGGGCCTTCTCCCTCAAGAAAACAGGGACAAATTGACTTGGGTTGCTCAGGGCCGTACTCAGCTGTGTTCCGAGTATCTGCAAGGATATCCCAACCTCCCTGGGTAGCCTGTTCCAACATCTGACCACCCTCACATTGAAAATTTTTTTCCTAATATCTCATTGGAATTTCCCTTGTTGCAACTTGTGTTTGTTGCCTGCTGTGCATCTCCCAGAAGAGCCAGACTGTCTCCTCTCCATACCCTCCCATCAGTTAACTGAAGACATGGGACAGGTTTCCATTAAAGACAAGCAACACACACAGTTGTTTTCCCAAGATGTTCATTAAATTATGTGCACACACATATGGATTTTCAGCTTATTTTTCTGAAATACAAGTACCATATTTTTGTTTGCAGCCTAATACTGTCTCTTGTGGATCGTCCTTCTGCAGTGTGTACCACCAAAGGCTTACCTTCACAGACAAGTAACAGAGTAGCTAACATGGTAAAAACCCACACCTCAGGATTACCCTGTAGCAATCTTCCCATCCAGAGCAACCCTTAGTTTTTGTTCCCTATGTGAACTAGCCCTGCCAGCCTGAGGTACTTACACGACCTCACGATACACTGTGGTTTTCAGAACTTCTCTCTTAAGCAGGGAAGCGACATTTAGCGATGTGGAAACTGGGCACAAAGGAAAACCACGTGCAAACTTGTGGTCAGCACGAGGATGAGGACCACAAGCCCGCGGCTTGTAGCTGCTCCGCGGTGACACAACTCCTCGGGGTCACGCAGGCTGCAGTGGCAAAGTATCATAGCGAGGTCAAGCGATGGAGCACGGATACTCTCACCCTGCGAGCGCACATTTCCCTCCAGAAGCCAATCTGCTACACATGGATGGATGGATGCTTGGTGTACACAGTATATGTGTTATGGGGGGTTGGTTTTGTTTTGGGGGTTTCATTTTTACATCCCCACCCTCTGCCATGAGCCGTTTGCGGTCCCGTCCCCCCCACAGCCCCTGCCCGCACCTGAGCGGTGGGAGGCACTGACAGACCTGCTACGCCCAAACCCCCCGCGCCGGTACCCGCGGGCAGTGAGCCCTGCACGCCTTCCCTCCCTCCCTCCCTCCACGGGCACTTCAACCTGACCTCACAGCAAGAGGCAGCCGGCAGACCGTGTCGGTTAGCAGCCACAGAGCTGCCTCGGGTCTGAGGAAAGAGTCTCGATGAGACTCTACCTTTCGTCAAAACGAACTTCAGATAGGGCACACCCCATGCCCTGCTCCCAGAGCACCGCCGGTCCTTTCCATCTCCGTGCCGGACCTCACCGACCATCCCTCCCAGGCAGCTCCGGCCTCCCACAGCCCCGCTCCCGCCGCCCGGGTAGCCGGGGGGGGCCCAGCGGGCGCCCCGTCCGTCCCCCCCTCCAGCCCCCGTCGTCGTCGGGGGGCCCCAGCCCAGCCGCCACGGGGGACGAGGAAGAGCCGCAACAAGTCCCCGCCGCCGCTGCCAGCCGCCCTTACCCAGATAGTGCCTCAGGTCCAGTAGAAAGTGCGGGGGCCCGCCGTTGAGCTGGTAGAAGAGGGAGCCCAGGCAGAAGAGCAGCAAGGCGGCCATGCAGAAGCCGTAGTCGCGCAGCGAGAGGAAGGGTAGCAGCGAAATGGGCCGCCGCCTCTTCCAGCCCCCGCCCTGGCCCGGGCCAGGGCCCCCTCCCGCTGCCGCCGCTGCCGCCGCGGGGAGCCGGGACACCGGGCAATCCCCGCCGCCGTGCTGCTGTTTCTTCTTCATCCTCCCCTTCGCCGCCTCCGGCTCACGCAGCCCGCCGGGGAAAGCGCATCCTCCATCCGCCTGCTCGGCGACGGCTGCCCGCGGCGGGGAAAGTTCCCGGGAGCTTAGGGGACCCGTCCCGTCCCCATCGCCGCCTGTCCCCAACTCCGAGGCAGGCGAGAGTCCCGGCGCTGCTGCTGCTGCTGCTGCTGCTGCGGCGGCGGCGGCTGCTGCTGCTGCTGCTGCGGCGGCTGCTGCTACTGAAGAGCGCAGTTAAAGGGAGGAGAAGGAGGTAGTCACCATCCCGCTCCCGGGGGCTCCTCTCCTCCTCCGCCGTACTCTGGCTCCCTCTCTCTGCTCGGCCTCTCGCTCCGGTGTCAAGTTACAGCCAATACTCCGCCGCCGGCCGCCCGCAACTCGCGGCTGACTTGTGCGCGCCGCCCGGCCTCGCTGCCCCCCGCCCGCCCCGGCCCCAGCGCCCCGGCCCGCCCCGCCCCGGCCTCTGGCATCTGCGACGTGCACGTTGGCTCCGCGCGAGCGACCCCTGCGGGCGCCGCCGAAGGCAAACCATGGGGCGATAGCGGCCGGGCCGCCCCGAGCGACCTAACCCACCTGCCCGGCTGGCCGCGGGCCGCGGGGAGAGGGACGGGGACCGGAGGGGTAGGGGCGGTGGCAGTGGCAGCGCTTCCCGCTGCTCCGGAGCGCAGGGTCTGCCTCGCAAGCGGCCCCGCGGGCAGCCGCGGTTAGGCCTGACTTGTCCTAAGCGCTCCTCTTGTCCTCGCACCTCTCCCACTGGAGCAGGCCTTGGGGACCAGTGTCCCATGGCCCACACTTGCCACGTTAGGGCTGCCAGATCTTGCAGTGGTCATAGCAGCAAAAAGGTTTAACTGTAGTGATTTAGACACAGTGTGAAGAAGCAGCACCTTTATAGTCGCATAATATCATTCACAGGGAAGAGAGGGACAGCTCTTCGTGTTGTGGCTTTTTTGGAGATGATTAAAGTGGGGCCGTTGTCTATGGGAGACAAGGCTTTAGACAAGTACGGAAATGACAAAATTAAGATTGCTCAAGCAACCTTAATTTGACCCCTTTGCACATATGGCTTATGATACAGCCTCTAATTACTTGATCATGCTATTTTTTCCTAGAGAAACACTTCCCACCATGCATAGGGTGAATGGCATTCACTCAGCACTGAGCTGTTTAGTAGCTTCATCCTCTTTATACAACATATGTCCGCAATATGTCCTGATGGCTTATTTGGAGCTATTCTTGTCCTTGGGCATTGTCTTCAGAAGATACATTTCAGTCCCTCACATGGCTGCCTTGCCAGCACAGCAGTGGAGGAGGAGGACCTGGGGTGGTAGCGCCACTACACTATTTCGTTTTATGGGCCTGTGCTCCCAGGATCACATGAGACTCTTCATTTCTCAGCAAGTTCTATCCCCATGGGTTGGGAGAAAAGTAGGAAATCACAGCCTAAGTGCAACTTGCCAGGGCAGAAATTAAAAAGCAATCACCCTTTTCCTTTTTAGGCTTAAAAACCAAAATGCGTCCCGATTGAGGGAGCCTGACTCATAACTTTTGTGCACTTGAAGCTGGAAATCTTGCCCAGGAGACTGCACTCAGATGGTTTTGCCAGTTACACTGAGGGACTTGTGTAAATGCCTGACTCTTACCTATGCTGCTGGCTTTGTTTTGTTGCTGGCATCCAGCAGCAAAGGGCATCTGCTGAAATAGGGAAATTAATCTTGTTGGTGTGGACAAAAGCACAAAGCCAGAATCTGACAATAAATAACCAGTCCCATTGCATTCCTTGATAAAAAATATCCACATACTGACTGAAAGAGCAGACCTTCTTAGATAGGTTGGAAAGGCGTTTCCTGGGCTTAATTACACAGTTCTAACACATCACTGCACAAATCCTTCACAGTCTTACACAAAACCTTTAGCAAAGACAAAGTTAGGAATGACACCTCATTTTGAAAAGGAGAAAGGTAATATGATACAAAAAGTAAGTTCACTTTGGGATAGTGTTTATGGGGGGGGGGGGGGAGGAACCCTGCAAAAGGTACATCTTTAGGACTGTGGCTCATTTTAAACAGGAGACTCAAACACCTCTCAACAGATAAAGTCATAACTCCAATTGCATGGTTAAACTACCACTTCTTAACTCTCATGAATGTTGCTTTGAAACCCTTGGAAGTATTGGGGGCTCACTTAATGTGAGCTGCTCTCATGGATGTTTTACATTGGTTTACATATTGTTTTTGAATCTACTGGCTTGTTTGAATGACCACACTGGAGATTGTTTAACAGTGGTAGTTGCTTTTATAGATGACAAACAGGTAAGAACTTATACTGAATAGTTGAGAAAAATGGATGCTTTGATGAGAAGACAGACAACACCTGTGAGGTGAATCAATAAATCTTTGTTTTTCTGGTTGCAAAGAATGTCTTTGATGTCTAGGAAGAGTTTGGGGTTGGTTTGTTGTTTTTTTTTAAATGAAAAGATGGAAAACCAGACCAATCAATGGAATAAAATGTGAGTGGGAAGACTACTGTTGAGAGAGTTCTTTCTGTATTTCTAAGCATCGACAGGTAAAAAAATCTCTTGGGAGGAAGAAGAAATAGAAATCTCTTTTGCTGAAACATATACTTCAACATATAAATTAAGGTGTAAGATTAGTTACTTTCACATATATGAACTGTCACACCTGCATTATGCTGTTATTTAGAATGCCTAAATCAAACTAGGGCGATGAGCAGGAAAATAAATACTGTTTACTTTGTGCGATAGCTTGATTCAGCAACTGTTTTCTTATTCTTAATTCCCCTATCACTCATCTACCTTAATGAAAACAGTATGATTTTGCATGCACAGCATAAAGCAATTAAAACATATATACATCCTTATTGCATTTCCATTCACAAAATAAAACAAAGAATCCAAACTACAAACCCCATGTTACAGGAATGTTATAGTTGAAAAGCCAAGTGTTGATACTTTAGGATAATACAAAGGTAAGATTTTTTCAGTCTTGTTTTGACTTGCAAAGGGTATGACTGAAGAATTAGTCTTTAATTGTGTGATGATATTGTTTTGCTCAGAAGACCACTGTCTCATACAGTGCATGGGATGGACACTGTTCACTAAATGTGCAGCTTTTCAGTTTATGTTTAATCTCTTTGTTCAACATATGTCCTCAGGCTTTGTTTAAAGCTATTTAAATCCTGCTTGTAATGTGGAATTATTAATATTATAGCAGGCTTTTCTACAATGTTCATTGTTACAGTACCTTGAGCATATGATGAATGCTTACGAATTATTTTCATGAAATATAGCTGATATCACCATTTTACTGATTGGGAAATGAGACACAGAAAGATTAAGGTAAATTTGTCTATTAATTTTGGTTGCCAGCCTTGAGATGACTGGAGTTTTCCTTGGCGGAATTGTGAGCACTGTGACGCATTTTGTATGTTCAAAGCATAGCTGGCTTTGACTTCAGATGCAGCCATGAATGCCAACGACTTTTACAGATCAGACCTCAGGCTCTCAAACCAAACACAAAGCATAAAAAGAGAGCACTTGGTGGCCACCTGTAGTTCAAGTAATCTTCCTGACATCATCTAGGAATGCTGTGTTGCTAGCAGACACAGAATCAATCATTTTCAGAGCAGTATTCACTGCAGTAGTCCTTGTCCTCTGTTTGCCTTGACCTTGTCCCACTCATTATTTTCCTCCTCTCCTAGATCTAGTCTCAGCTCCAGGATCTTTGTCCAAATATCTTTCCTTCAGTGACCTCATCCAGTCTAGGTCCAGCTCTTGCTCAGACTGAATCCCCCTCCCAGCTGCAATGGTTCCAGAAAGAAGGACATTGTGAGCACAGAGGTGCTTCTCCTGGAAGAGAATGCTCCATATAGTCAAAGGAATGGAGCTGATGAAAGTTTCCAGTGGGTCCACATTGGTGGTCTGGTAGAGATTCCTCAGCTGATTAGAAACTCCAAATGCATGGATTCAGAAACAAGTTCAATGAGTGAGATAAAGAGCTCCTGGAGGCTATATATCCGGCAGTACTTGCAGAGACTCATTTGGCCACATCAGCATGGGCTACTCACTGGCTAGTCAGGTCTGGCTGAGCCAGCCTCGACATAACATCTTGCCATCTGCGCTGTGCACTCCTGATTCTGAGCCTATATGACTAGTACCTTGTTTGGGAATATCTGTACCCAGCTGCTGGGGTGCTGCAGCTCTCTGTTATTGCACATATTCTGAGGTTACAGAGAGATCTCTAGTCTTCCATGGGAATAGCAAAATCCACACACTCAAAAACCAAACACCAGTGCTCCAAGGAACAGATGCGTGATGATTTCCCATTTTTGCAGTGGTAGGATTTTATTTCTAACATGGGCAAAACATTTTCCCCTTATTCTTAGAAACATCTGAACACATTTTATTCAAATTTTCTAACTAAATTCTCATTAAGCAAATTTCCCCAGCTGGGATATTTCAGAATAGGCAGTTTGCAAAGGTATAAATAACTAGAAAGGGATAAGATATAGCCTGGGCCTGAATTTTCATCAGACAATAAGGATAAAGGAAATTTAGATGCAAGGCTTCACTGAGTCAATGTTCATTGGTATAGCAGAATAATGAAATGTAATGTCATCTAAGAAGCACCCATGAAAGATCACAGCCTTGGATTCCTTCAGCACTCCCTGTGATTCAGAAAGGGTTCAGAGCATAACAGAGTAATTGTCGGCAACTGTGCAGGCTCTATTTTGCTTTGTTCAGTGACAGTTAATAATTTGATTGAGATGAAATAAGGGTGCACTGTACCCTTTCATTTCATGCATACAGAATGCTTGCAAGTTTCATCTGCCTTGACTGAACTGAACTGCAGCTCTTTGCTGGCTGGTTGCATTCATTTCTGTCCTTTGTGGAAGGTTCAGGAGTATAACCTGACAGATACATATATCAGTAAATATCTGAAGACAGGGAAACAAGCTTGTGTGCCAGATAGATACAACTTAGTGACACTTAGATGGAGCAGGTTCACTTCAGAAGAAGTATTTATAATTTGTAATTGAAATGCTACTTGGAAGTACATGAGCATATTCTATCAACATCAGTTGGTGTGTGATAGATTTATCAAAAGGAATTTTTATTATTCCTTTGGCACTGCTGGCTATCTCCATTGAAGTG